CCACCCCCCTCACATACATCCCCACCCCCATGGGCACTCACACATGCACACACTCACCCACAAGCCAGGTTTCCTCAGGTGGGCTCTTTTTCATCCTGCAGGTCTCTGCTTACATGTCAGTTACTCAGAAAAGCTTTTCTGATCACCCTCTCTAAAATAGGCCCTCTCCTAGTATTCTCCATCTTAGCACCCAATTTTTTTTCTTTATGATACTTATGACAATTTAAAATTATTTTATATATGTATAAGATTTCTTCCTTATTGGACTCTATGATCCGTAATGACAAGGATTAAATCTGTTTTATTCACCTTTGCTTCTTATCCTTGGCACCTAGCATTACATCTGGCACCTAATAGGCATTCAATAAATAACTAATTAATTATAATTAATTAATATGATTCCAGCCCTTTACCCCCATAGCTAATTCACTCCGCTGCTACTTTGGAAAGACTACAGCAAATTCAAAAACAAATGCGTGGAACAGCATGCATTGCCCTTTTAAAAAATATTGGTTCACTGAGTTATGCAGATTTTCCAAATGTTGGGACATTTCATTACACAGTGTTTTAAAATTTGTATTTGTTAATATCACCATCTCATCAGGAGAGTCTTTAAGGGTTAGAAAGATGTCAAGATCATCATAGCAGACACAAGTTTTCCAAAAATTCTAACTTTCACTTGAAAGCCCTAATTTTATCATTAGCAACAAAAATTGTCAGAATTACTTCATTCATATTTGAGAAAATGTCTGCCAAATAGTAATGTCTGAATAAGCATACTTTGTCAGCATTCTTTCAAATAAAAATAGTACTCCATGAAAAGAGATAGATCAGCTCACACTAGAACTTTTCCTTAAGACAACCCTTTTACTTCAGTGTGCAGCCAAAGTGCTTTGTGGATCTTTTGCATAATTCCCATATTATATAGATATTAAAAAGACATTTACTACAGGATAAAGATTAGTAAGATGAAAAATGTTTTACTGCTTCATCGATAACTTTCTTGAGTGAAACTGGCTTTTTTTTTTTTTTAACATGTCTGACAAGGTTATAGTGACTAGTACAGTTTGTTGTTACTGCACTGATTTCATGCTAACGTGTCAGAGGTTTTACCCATCGTTGCTTTTGAACAATCAGTGCAAATGTCGACACACAGGGGAAAAGGCAAACAATATCTTAGTATTATTATGAAAATAGTTTTGACCTCACAGACCCCTGAAAGGGTCACAGGCCCTCAGGACCCCCTAGGAGTCCGAAATCACACTTTGAGAACTACTGGTTTACACTATTGTAATGGCTCATTCACATTGGAATAAATTAAATTTTTTCCCAAGAACATAAAGAAATAGCTACATACACAATTTTTAAAGCTTATATTTCATATCCAAAACAACCTGGATAAGATTGTTAAAACAGAACAAAGTTATTGGACTCAGACTTTTAAATTTCAAAACTGTCTACAAAGCCACAGTAATTAAGACAATGTGGTACTGGCATAAGGTTAGACATATACTTAAATGTTATAGAGTTGAGAGTCCAGAAATAAACCTTAATATTTATAGTCAATTGATTTTCAACAAAGGGGCCAAGGCAATTCCATGGGTTAAAAAAAAAGAAAAAAAATGTTTTTTCAACAAATAATCCTGGGACAACTAAACATCCACACATAAAAGAATGAAATTGGCCCCATACCTCAAGCATACATAAAAATTAACTCATAACATAGAAAAAAATTAACAAAAAATAGGCCTAAGTGTCAGAACAAGATAGAACTATAACACTCTTAGAAGTAGATGTGGGAGTAAATCTGTGATCTTGGGTTAGTTCATGATTTCTTAGCTATGACACCAAAGGCAAAAGTAATAAAAGAGATTAAGTTGGACTTTATCGAAATTAAAATTTTTTGTGCTTCAACAGATACCATCAAGAAAGAAAAAAGACAACCCACAGACTTAGAGAAAATATTTGCAAATCATATGTCTTATAAAGGACTCACATCCAGAATGTATAAAGGGTACTTATACCTCCATAATAAAAAGACAAATAACTCAATTTAAAAGTGGGCAAAGGACTTGAATAGACAGTTCACCAAAGAAGATATATGAACGGCACACAGCACATGAAAAGAAGCTCAACATCTGTAGTCATTAGGAAAATGCAAATCAAAACCACAATGAGATATTATTTCACACCCACTAGAATTGCAATTGTCAAAAAAACAAACAATAACAATATTGGCAATGATGTAGAGAAATTAGAACTTAGCTAATTATTGGTGGGAATGTAAAATGGTGCAGCTACTTTGGAAAACAGTTTAGAAGTTTCTCAAAATGTTAAGCATAGAGTTACCGTATGAACCAGTAATTTCATTAATTTCATTCTTAGGTATAGACCTAAGAAAAATGAAAACATGTATCCACACAAAAATTTGTACATGAATGTTCACAGGGGCATTATTTGTAATAGTTAAAAAGTAGAAACAACCCGAAGGTCCATCAACTCATGAATGAATAAATAAAATATGCTATATGTATATAATGGAATATTATTTGACAATAAAAAGGAATAAACTATTAATATGTTACACTGTGAATGAACCTCAAAAGCATTATGCTGAGTGAAAGAAGTCAGTCAAAAAATACCATATATTTATAATTCCATTCATATGAAGTGTTTAGAACAGGCAAATCTTTGGAGACAGAAAGTAGATCAGAAGTTGCCTAATGGGGGTGACTGCTAGTGGGTAAAAGGTTTCTTTGGGGATGGTGAAAACGTTCAAGAATTAGATTATGGAGATGGCTGCACAACTCTGTAAATATACTAAAACTCATTGAATTGTACACTTTAAATGGGTGAACTTTATGGCGTATAAGTTCTGTCTCATAACACTGTGAAAAGTCAACATAAATTGAAGCATAGCAATGACATTCACATAAAAAGAAATAAAATTGTTGGTGTTTCTTTTAAGAAATTTTCAGTAGGTGTAGTCAATTAAAATTTTATTTTTTAAAGATTGTACTAAAATTACCCACCAAAACCAGAGGCAGAGTATCCCACTGCTGTTACTGAAAATGTGAACCTTTGACACACTAGCAATATCTGGGGAAAAGACACTCAGGGGTCTCAGTTAGGCTCCCTTCTAAGGTCATATGATTTCTAAGAAAGGAACCACTAGGTCTGAAGTCATCTGGGTGTTAACTATGCGGATGGTTGATTCAACACCAACATCCTAACAGAACATATGACCATAAGTATAATAGAAACCACATCCTCAGCTCAGAAAAAGAGCTAAAAACATTTCTAATAGAAAACATACTGCATACTGCTCCTCCAGGGACTGAGGCTGAATCTTCTAAGAGTGAGACATTCCCCAATATTGGAACAAAATAGCCATGTCTGACTCCCATTTTCCTTCTCAGCTAAAGAAGGAAGGAAGAAAGGAAGGGAGGGAGGGAGGGAGGGAGGGAGGGAGGGAAGGAGGGCGGGGAAACTCAGAGTTAATTTCAGTTTCTAAAGTTGGAAAATTAAACAGAGGGCTGGAAAGGACCAAGAGGCCCTACCCCCAGCAGCCCATGTCCCTACACCTGCCGCAGACTCCAGGCAGGGGCACATAAACCATTCTCCACAAAGTGGGGAAGGAAAATTGAGGCAGGAGCTTAGATGTAAATAATCTGTGTCCTTCCCTCCACTTGCACTTGGCCTATTCATGCTATATAACGCAAAGAGATAGCTAGAAATAAATTTGCTTGGTGTCCAAGTTTTAGGACGTGTTTTTGAAGCTCTAATTTAAGTCATAGGGGAGCTTCGTCCATTCATGGATATTGCTGATGATGACGGTCTTCGAAATCTTAGCTGAGACATTTACAACCACTTACTGTGCACTATGATCTGATGGCAACAAGGTCCCCTTGCCCCCTCCCACCCTGTAGAATGACTATGCTCCCCCTCAGCAGCCCTCACAGAGGAAAGCATTACCTTGGCAATGAGCAAGTGTTCACTGTTCTCACTTGTGTTTAGTTTCCTAATGCTGAAGTTTGAAATTTGAAAGAAAGGAAACCACATCCTTTGTACTCTCACTTTATAAATAGAGGCGATCAAGAACTGAAAACAGATTTTCATGTTGATTGATGTGGGGACACAAGCCACAATGAGGAACTCCTACAAATTTCTGGCATCTTCTCTCTCAATTGTCATTTTTCTCCTGCTAATTCCTGAAGGTAAGTGATTCTTGTCATTTTCATAATAAGCATTAAGCAAAATGGAGCAAACTTTCAGTGAACCTTTGGTAATGTTATCTTACTAAACTAAGATTACCCCCCCCCCCATAGCTTAAAATGTTTAGCATTCTTTCTAGGATTCTAAATACATCTTTATTTTAGAGTGAAAAAAAATCTTTCTTTGGGGCCGGCCCGGTGGCGCACTGCTACAGTGCGCCGCTTGAGAGCGCAGTGGCGCTCCCGCCAAGGGTTCGGATCCCACATACAGACCGGTTCCCGCTCACTGGCTGAGCGAGGTGCGGGCGCAGCACCGAGGGTTGCAATACCGTTGCCGGTCCCGGTCCGGTACGGGCGCGACACTGAGGGTTGCGATCCGTTGCCGGACACAAAAAACAACAAAAAGGAAAAAAAAAATCTTTCTTTCTTTTTTGTAATTTCTTTATAAGAGATAACAGAACCACCAATGTTTATTGCTGCCAACTTGTAGCTTGAAAATTGCCAGAAAGGATTATGTAAAAATGAGCAAACAAACAAAACACTCTTGAGTTAAGGAAACAAATAGAACCTTTCAGGAAAGGCATAGTAGTGCCTTAGTCAGTTCAGCCTTTCTTGCAGCAGAAAATGCATAGATAGTTTTAAAGGCAAGACAAATCTAACCTGGACACCAAAAGTGAATCAGGAATTATTTGAATTTTTATAATTATTTCTCTCATCTAGAGTCTCCTCGGGAATACATTAGGACATTAGAAAAGTTCCCACATCTACTCTTTGGAAGTGCTATGGTATTTTTTATTAATCTACTTCTTTGGTGTACCGATGGTAACCAATATTCATGCTTTCGTGTGAGTTCCAAAGCATGGGTTGAAATGCTGTAAAATTCATGGCATAATCACTGGAAGGGCAAGTGCTCCTAGGTAGCTATAGATCTTCCTTGAAGAACCCACTAAGAAGTAAGGACTACTCTGGGCTGGGGTAAAATGGTCTGACAAACGTAGAGCCAGCCATGGTTTTTCCCCAGGGCCCATAGGCTTTTGGAGGTAGGAATAGTGGGCAGGGGCTGATGTAATAACATGTCTTGCCAGGAATTCCCAAGGAAGTTTACAGGTTTATCTTACACCTAAAAATGAGAAGAAGAAATTTTAAAATAACAAGGTTGCAGGACATTTGAGCCAAAAGGGTGGGCATATTATAAGCATGGCATATATGACTATATTCACGCATGTTAAATCCTCCATAACGGTGACAACAGGGCAGATTTTAAAAAAAAATCCAACCATATCTTTTCTTCAAAGGCAACAACAAAAGCAGCTTGCTCTGCTCCACTTTGGTTCCTGTGTTCAGAGAGAGCAAGGCGGACCCAAAAAATGAACAACACAGCAAAGCAAGGCTCAATGCTTGGGACCAAGGGTCTCCACCTCACACACATTAGGATAATTTGGAGGGCTTTTAAAAAATACTGATGTTGCAGCTTCAGCCTCAGAAGTTCTGACTTAATTTAACTCTAGGTGGGGACCAGGAATTTCTAGTTTTTAAAAGCTTCCTACCTACTTTAACCCTACCCCAGACCCTTCTAGGAGTGGTTGGTGGCAAGAGATGTGGACTTATTTCTGAGGCTGACATATTTGCTCACTAAACAAACACAGAACTCTGCAAAAAGGAATGTTTTATTGAATTTATCATTTCTGCAGTCTGGAAAGTCCAAAAATTCACCTTTGGAATCTATCTATACTTGACTCACTCTAGGAAAAATTGGGATGTGGATGAAGTCCTCTTGGTTTTTATAAGTTCCTTACCTTTTATTTCCAGAGCCTAGAATTTTCCCTTCCCAACTCCTTTCTGGAAAGCACAGATCCGTGGTCCCTCTCTTCCCCTTACCCACACCCTCATCAGACCTTATGAAAGGCTTCTACATCTATGAATTCGGCAATGTGTTAGTTTTAACTATGGAATAAAAGACACTGTTCCCTATTTTTAAAAAAATGGGTCTCAGCCAACAGTCAGGAGAAATATTTTAGGAGAATCCAAGAACATCTGGTGTAGAAGGTGGAGAGCTGAGAGTACATCACAAAGACATAAGGTCCTCTCAACCAGCAGGTATGGTTCCCTTGTGTTTAGGTCCCCTTGCTCCCTAACAATGGGTCTATACTCCTAGTCTATCACCAGGGGAATTTTACGAAGGCAGAACTCTCTACTTATAGAAAATTCTCTCCTTCCTTCCCCTCCGTCATTGGAAAAGGTCTTCGTTTAAACCATGTGGCGTAGTCTGGAGACTGAAGGGGAGCTTTGGGTGCAATAGACGTTATTGTCAACTTACAAGAATGGTGTAGGACAGTGCGGACAGAATAGTTGAATAACCAAGAGTCTCACGATGATCTCACAGCCGGGGTCACAGCTAGAGGTGCTAATGTCACTTTGCAAGATGTGGTCTCGCTAGGGCTTGGAGTGGAAAGGGAAGTTCTCAAGCTTCTAAAGTCCTCTCTGCTTCCCCCCAAATTAACAGTCTGCCAGAAGAGAGTGGGGAACTCACAGTTGTCATGGCCACCAGCATCTCCTTCACCGACTGTTGCTGGTATAGACCAACACACAGCTCTCTATCCCTTACAATCGCTGAGGCTGGTGGTTTGTGACACATTTCCAGCCTAATGATCCCTGGAACAGCCAATGGCATGGCTTCTGTGGGCAAAAGAGCAGGACCCTCTCTGAGTCCAACAGGAATGGGATTAACATTCAGATGTTTGAAGGTCTACATGGAATAAAAGCAGCAGGGTGGGAAATGCTCTCATCCACGCTTCCTCTCCAAGCACGAAGAGCATGACTGGTCTTAGAACCATGGCTTTATATGGCATTCTTTGGGGTGGGCACCAATCTGATTTGCCTTTTTCTATTGAACAGATGTCTGTGTGAAAATTATCGGAGGAAATCAAGTAACTCCTCATTCAAGACCCTACATGGTCCTACTTAACGGAGAACACATCTGTGCTGGTGCTTTGATTGCAAAAGACTGGGTGCTGACTGCAGCTCACTGTGTCCTGTAAGTGCTTGAGTTTTAAAAAAATGTTTGTGGAGATATTCTAATTTGGAGAAAGACTAATAAAAAGAGTAAATTCCACTAATCCACAGTAGGCTCATGTGTATTTTCACATCACTTAAATCTTTGGAGACTTCCTTTAGCCCAAAAGGAAGTGAAGCCCAGACTTGCCAAAAAGAATCAGGCCAATGAGGAAGCAGCACCCACAGCTCTCCCTGCAGGTCTCCATACAACCACCAGGTAAAGGTCTGCAAAGCTTTGCTTCTGGTCATGACAGCTTGACTGGATAGAATTAGCCACAGCCTGGAAGGGGAAAACTTCCAGTGCCTCCTCAGTGCCCAGGCACAACTGCCAGGTAGAAAAAACTTGTTTCCAGTGCCTTCCTGTATCCCTAGTGAATTCTTCTCACATCTTCGGCTGTCTCTTAACTCCTATTGACCACTACCTTCAAACTTCTTCTTGGGTCTGATCTTTTCTCCACTCCCTAAATCAAGCCTCTAAACCTGGGCTGTGCAATATGATAGCCACTAGCCACATGTGGCTATGTAAATTTAAGTTAATTAAAGTTAAATAAAATTCCAAATTTAGCTCCTTGTTTGCACTAGCCATACTTCAAGTCCTCAGTAGCCATGTGTGGCTACTGTCTATCATACTGGACAGTGCAGATTTATAGAACATTTCATCAGCAAAGTATGCTCTACAGGAGCACTGTTCTAATGTCTTAAGTGAGACCAATCTCAGCCAGTGTAGTGGGAAAAAGGCAGTGTGAATATCGGACTGGTATAGTTTATACTACTAGGTCATAGATGATGATAGCCTTAATCATCAATACATCAGAGAGTATATTGATTTTGTTAATCAAAATGAACCTTTAGCATGGGGTAAAAGAAGAAAAGACTCCTGGGCCCCTCCTTCAGACCACCATCTCCCCAACATACACACACTCAACACCATGCAAGTAGGGCCCTCCTCTGCTGGGCAATCTGTTTGGGAAAGTTTTCCCATTCAAGGTGACTTAGTTGTTCTCTTACAAAGATCCCTTCAATGCATTACCCTACAACTATCAGGTGCCTTTTGCTTCTGTCCCTGGACTACTGAGATCTTTGTTTTCTAGTATCTGCAACCTGATTCTCTGTCACAGCCAAGCTGGGGGTGGGAGGGTGGGGCTGGCAAGCCCAAGACTTAGCTTTGCTGCCATGGAATTCTCCTATTTGTTTTTCAATGAACCTGTTTAAGCATTTTATAAATAAGCTGGTGGTGGTGGTGGTGATGATAATGATGATGGATTCATATACATCTTACCTTTTATTCTTTAAAGCACGTGTTTTCTTTCTGAGTCACAAAGAAATATCTTCACAACAAGTGTATTTACACATGGGACAATGAAGCTGATCAATACATAATATGCTCAGCTCCTGATTAAAAGAATAAACCCAGTAAAGAGTGTTGTGTCTATTCTCAGGAACAAAAAGTCCAAAGTTGTTCTTGGGGCTCACTCAATAACCAAGAATGAGCCAGAAAAACAGATAATGTTCATTAAGGAAGAGTTTCCATATCCGTGCTATGACAAGGACACACATGAGGGTGATCTTAAACTTCTGCGGGTACGTACCTTTGATTGTCTTCTTAACAATCATAGAACCTCCTACAATCTGGCCACCTACATGGAAACCTTTCCTCGGTGCCCCTATTGTTACAAATTCACATAAGGAGGTCCTTCAGGGTTGGGCTAGAATTTAACTAAAAATGTTAATACTTACCTCATTCTATTGACCCTTTTGCTTGTCTTCCAACAGCTGAACAAAAAAGCAATAATTAACAAAAACGTGACTATCCTTCATCTACCTAAAAAGGGGGAGGATGTGAAGCCAGGAACCAAGTGTCAAGTTGCAGGGTGGGGGAAGTTTCACAATAAGTCACCTCAGTCCGATACTCTGAGGGAAGTCAATGTCACCATCATAGACAGAAAAATCTGCAATGATCAAAAGCACTATAATTTTCATCCTGTGATTGGACTGAACATGATTTGTGCTGGAAGCCTCCAAGGTGGAAAAGACACGTGCAATGTAAGTACAATAAGATTCCACATTTGAGCAGTTGGAATAAGTCATTCAGATAAAGAAAATATAATGTCATGCTTTATTTTCTCATGGCATTGGCTTCTACAGGGTCCTAGTGCTTTCTGAAAGAAATTTGATGAAACCCCCATCAAATAAACTAGTATGCTCAGCTGAAGTAAGTTGTTAAAAATATGAAGTTCACTACTAGTACATGGGTTGACCTACTATGTATTCTTGATTTTATATCAGAAACCAGAGAAGCAATGTTTTTTCTCATTTTTCATATTAACATATATAGATCTAAACTTAAAGATATTCAACACTTAGGAGAGTGGAAGTCAGGGTTCCTCAAGGGCCTTCAGTACCCTTTCCCCATCTCTGCAACCCCCCAAAAATTCCTCTGCCATATACCTGGGCCTGTCTGAAATGCCTGTCATTCCCAAGCCTGGCTGAGGACCACAGGCTAGAACCCACAGCTTCCTAGAGCTAAGCTCATTCCCCAGTAAACAATTTCCAAGCATGACCCACATCAAAGAATGTGTAAGCCTCCAGCCCAGAGTGCCCTGAGAAGGGGCAGGACAGGGCTCTGCTTAAAGATAGAAGTAGAAAAAAACACTTAGATTTTTAAGCTCTTGTCATTTCTCACCTTTCCCAAAGACCCTATAGAATCTAACCAGAAGAGCAGGAGTGTGCAGTGTGCATGGTTTGAGAGTTATCAGGGAATGAAAGATCCAGTATCTGTCCTTCCTAGGAGCTATGTCTTGCTTTCAGGACCAAGGCTAACCAGAATCTGAGAAAAGATGGAATTTGTCTTTAGCACCCTTCCGCTTCCTCTTCTTTGCCCTTCCTCACCATTCCCTCCCTTGTCCCCCACTCTGGGTACCCAGGAACCCAGAACTTTCATGCTTTCAGAACCCACATGCAACATCGTGAGGCCAAGATGCTAGTCCCCCTCCCATTAACCACCATCTACTGTCAAAGTCTAGCAATCCTTTCTGTTCTCTCAATGCCCTGGCATTGATGGTTGATGAATTAAACCTCAAGGACTAATTCTGCACAGTCGTAGGCAGGGGAAATATACCTGGCTACGAAGAACTCTAGGTTCTCATATGGCTCCTTATTTCATATACTCATAAGGCCAACTTTTGCCTGAAAGGGGTTGCTTTGGTTTTGTTTCTTTGGGAAGACAATTATCTGCTAGAGGAACCAGAAAACATGGTTTTTATTCTTTGCCTCAATGTACCATCTGCACTTGACTATTTTACACTTGGAGTTATTAAACATTTTGAGAAAATGACAAATAACCAGGAAGATTTGCTTTCTGAAAGCAGAGAACCGGTCTCAAAATTAGTGGATAATAAATGATACAAGTTTTATTTCCATTTTCACTCGTTTATAGATAAGCCAAGTGAGCCAATTTAAAAATATTAAAATATTTCCAAACATTTTGGTTTTTAAGCACCAATTTTCAACTAAGTTGGTCTTAACTCCATATTAAATGCCGTAGAATGTCTTCCATTTCATTTCACTAGTGGCCGTGTTCGACACCGGCCCCACCCCACCCCTCTTGCCTTCCTGCAGGGAGACTCTGGAAGCCCGCTGCTGTGCGAGGGAACCTTCCGAGGTATCACTGCCTTTGGCCTTCCCCAGAAATGCGGAGACCCTCGAGGGCCTGGCGTCTACACTCTTCTCTCAAAGAAACACCTCAACTGGATCATTGAGACTATGAAGGGGGCAGTTTAGAGAGCTGTATTTCATTTCACTTGCTGTCACTTCTTAATCTTATCATAAATAAAGTCAATCAGTATGACTATACCCAATTTCTTTTCTTTTTTTTTTTTTTAAAAAAAGATGACCGGTAAGGGGATCTCAACCCTTGACTTGGTGTTGTCAGCACCACACTCAGCCAGTGAGCAAACCGGCCATCCCTATATAGGATCCGAACCCATGGCCTTGGTGTTATCAGCACCGCACTCTACCAAGTGAGCCACGGGCCGGCCCCCCAATTTCTTTTCTATAAAGTTAGTGGGTGGATCTGCACCGGCAGAGTGAAGCAGAGTCACATGGCATGTGCATAACATTCTAAGTCACGCCAAAAAGGATAATGTATCCTCCCTCAACCCCTCAACTTAGTTGTCCAAGGCACAAATAAGCACATTAAAACTAAAATAACCAAAGATCCACATAGTAGTAAAAGATTTAAAAAACAACTACAATAGTATGTTCATACCGAATGGGTGATTCAAACTAATGTCAAGAATTCATACCCAATAACATCATTTCAAAACACTTCCTGGAGAGGTCAGGACCTGTGCCCAGGTGTAAAGAAAAGGGAGAGAGGAGCAGGAATTCCTGATTAGAAGAAAAGCTCCAACGAAGGTACCAAGGCAAGAAATTGAAAGACTTAGGTAGCAGATGAAACATTAAAAACACAAAACTGTTGACTTACCAAGCTTGAAGGAAACTTAGCAGTGATCAAATCCAAATTCTTATTCTTGCAGACACTGCTACACATCTGAGGTTACACACTGTGTTTATAGCAGAGCCACGGCAAGAATAGGTTCCCTAATTTCAGGTCCTGGGCTCAGGGCTAGAGAGGTTGAGACCCGGGGGTTAGGTAATAGAGAGTCATGGAGAGTTTATGAGCAGGGGACAAACAGGATCTGCACAGTGCTTTCAGAAGTTTAACCCAGCAGTGGGGTGGAGACTCAAGAAGACTAAAAATAGGAGAACCAGTTAGAAGGCAATTACAATGGACTGGCCTTCAGGTATTCAGGACATTACTAGTGAAACAAAAGAGAAGAGAACAAAGGTTGAACCACGGATGCACAGAGCACAATAGTCCATAGGCTCCCTAGTGACTTGGAGACTAGAATAAGGATGAGACCACTAGGAGGGAAAAGGGATTCCTACAGAAGAGCTAATTCTGAGAGGAAATAATATGCATGCTTAACATACTGCCTAGCATATAGTAGGATTTTAATAATGTTTTTCAAGTGAATGAGTTGTGTTTTCAATGTATTGAGATAGAGCTAAAGACAGGAAAGGATCTCAAAAAGGAAATACCCATAGGCAATCAGAAGTATGAGATTGGAGCTTGGGAGAAAAGTCAGGTGGGAAAGAAGTGTTTAGAAAGCTTTGCTATGATAATATTCTGGCTAAAACAGTGAACATGAATCTCTGAAAAGGAAAAGAGAAGAAGAAAGAGGGGGTGGGAGGAAGGGGGGAGGGCAAGAAAGCAGAGAGAAGACAAGAAGTCACAGACAGTCCCTGGGAAATGCAACGGGAGGAAGCAGAGCACGTAAAGCAACTGAGAAGGAAGGTCAGGAGGACAGGCACCGGCAGCAGGAAGAGCTCTTCATCTTGCTTGACACTCCACCACCCCATGGAGAAGACAAGGCGATGTCATTGTCCTCACTTAGAAATGAGCATGCTGAGGCTTAGAAGGGCTGGAGGACTGGTAGCAATTCCATACAGAGGCTGTCCCATCAGCTGCAGCAGAAAACACCCGGGTCTGGTCTGGACTCAAAGCCAGGTGCAGCACTCTGCCTCTGTGGCCTGGGGAAAGGGGGAAAGACAGTTAATAGTTCAGGTGACAAGAGCTGAGGACTGTAGGCAACCTAAGGAGGGTCTGCACACCCCATGCCAGGCTAAAGGGCTTCCCACACCCTCCAGGTTCGGAGCGGTCTTCCACTGAGCCCAGCTGGGAGAGCACCAGTCAGGTCTGACTCAGGCACCTCTCCAGTGACTGAGGTTTTGCTTCACTGTTTCCCCTTCTGTGCTCTTCCCCCGTGTTAGTGTCCTGTGGCTGCCATAACAAATTACCACAAACTGGGTGGCTTCAAACAACGGAAATTGATTCTCTCTGAGTTCTGGGGTGGGTAGTCTGAAATTGAGGGGTCAGCAAGACTGCACTCACTTGGGAGGCCCTAGGGGACATTGTGCCTTGCCTCTTCTAGTTCCTGGCAGCTGGTGGCAACCCTTGCTTTGTGGCTGCATCAGTCCAGCCTCTGCCTGTGTGCTCACATCATCTCCTCTTCTGTGTGTCTCTTCTTCTCTGAGTGTCTCTTATGAGGACACTTGTCAGTGGATTTAGGGCCCACCTGGATAAACCAGGATGATCTCATCTCAAGATTAACGTAATTACATCTACAAAGACCCTTTTTTCAAATAAGGTCACATTCACAGGTTCCAGGGATTTGGATGTGGATATTTTGGGGGAGACCATATTTTAGCCTACCATACCACTCATGCCCCATACTGTCATTAGTTCTATCTTCTCTAATCCACCAACACCCAGGAAATGCTATTGCTGTACTCCTGCCACCCAACCATCCTTCTCCCAAAAGTCATCCCCTTGGGACCCAGGCTTCAAGAAACTAATCAAATAAGTTGATGCAGCATAATTTAAAAGGACCGAAAAAAGCTCTCCCACAAAGCATGCATGAGTCTCACTTATGGAATTCTGGAGACAATACCCCTCCTTCTGTTATCTAACTGATTATTCCTAAAGAACATTCTGTGGTACAATAGTTCTACACAAGGTTAATAGGTATTAAAAATGAAAAGAGTGTTTAACATTCACATTAATTTAGGAGCCCCGGATTAAGAAAATTAAACATGTTTCCCTAGGACTTCTTTACTTTAGGACTGCTATATACATTATAAATGTTTCAGAGATGAGGCTATGATAAGCAGCATTTCTCTAACTAATTTGACCACAGAGTCCTTTTAACTTGAGCATCTCAACAGAATACTGTTCCTTGAAAAATGCTTTGCAAAGCTTAGCCTAATCCAACTGTGACTCTAATGATCAGAACCGTAGGCAGAAATAGACAAAGCTGACTCCATGAAACCAGGCTGAGGCTGGGAGGATGGGGTAGGGGAGGAGGTCAGCTAAGTGTTTGAGTAGATAGGTATTTGGGGCACAACTAAAATCAAACTAGATGTGTGGTCACCTCTTCAAAGAACAAGTACTGCTTAACAATTTAATTGAGAGCTGCAATTTCAGGAATAATCTCATACCCTGATACAAGGTTCTCAGCAGAAAAGCTTGTGATAACCCTATTCTAGGAGTGTGAAAACACTATTCTACCCCTGAAGGAGACATATCTTAGGCACTTAGGTGCTTTTCCATCTACACACAACATTCCCAATGCTCTCCTTTGTGCCTATGTGTGTGCACGTGTGTGCGTGCGCGTGCACACACACACACACACACACACACACACACACACACGCCAGCAAGAGGAGATCCTAAGGGGACATGGGATTGGCCCTGGGTGTGTGGGTACATGAAGTTTAGATTCACGGATTCAACGCAGCCCCCTTATTTTACAGGTAGAGAAAAAGATTTAGGGAATCAAATGTCTGGCCAAGGTCACAGAGCTAATTAATGGCAGAGCCAGAACTATGATTTAATTCAGTGCTCTAACCATTAGACCACACTTCAAACCCAGAGCAAAGATCTTTTTTTCTATTGAAGGCCACTGTTCATTATTTAAAAAAAAAAAAATTAAAGCCATAAAAATGAAAAGCAACTTGAGTCAGTTGTTTAAAAAGAATAAATATATAATATTATGATACTAACACTTTTAAAATAAACCTAAGAAAGAAAAGTCTATTCAATAAATATAACAGGCAATAAATATGCCTTTTGTTCCTTTGTGTTAAGAGAAAGAAAAAGACAGAAAAGGAGTAGCACAGGAAGAGAAGATCCCAAAGCTTTTTCAAAGCTGGCTTTGAAAACTATCTTGATTTAAAAATTGAATAGCTACTTCTAGAACTTGTTGGGAAAATGAAATTTGGATTGGAAGCAAAGGCACTCTTGAAGTTCTTCTCTCACATCAGTGACAATCTTAATTTACTAGATACTTAGTAGGAAATGCCATTTTTATCTCAGAAAAAGGTCCTCTTTTAGAGTTTACATCCCCAAGTTCCGAGTATATTGTCACTGGAAGCAATGAAGGTTTGGTTTCTTAATGCAGCTGTTGTCACAAATGAGATCATATACTGACACATGTGCTAGGGACTGATGAAACCAAGTCAAAAGCCAGATCTCACCTAAAAGCTAGAAAGTTAGCTACTCCTGTTTCAATGCTTAGAAATTAAAGTCTTTGGTAGGTAGGAACAACTGTAAATTATCTTTCTTCTATAAGCAGGGTGGGTGGGGCCATTTTAACTGACCATGGCTAACAAGGTTAGGCTTCATAAGGGTGTGACCAGAATCTAGAATAGCTTTTCCCACACTTTTTGACCACAACCCACTGTCAAAACTACATTTTATCTAGAGACCGCCCAGGTAGGCATATATACTCATATAACCCTAACAAAAGTTTCACAAAATAATACCCATTTTTCCATTCTATCTCATTTTTTTATTGCTCATCTTGACTCATTACATTCAAAATCTAAGGTCACAACCACCAGTTTAGAAGACTTGATCCAGCTCTCAATCACCAGGGTGTATATCAAGAGCGCTGTCCTTGACCCACAACAGAAATTAAATACCTAAGCAGTCCAATGCCACATAGCTGTGC